GCAGAATTTCCAGAATTTGCAGGCTAGCTGCTTTGCTTTACTGACCATATTTTTTGCGATTCTGTAAGTGTTTCGGTTGGCAAAATTATCCTGACGACTATTATAGATTTCAAATTTCTTTCATGTACTGCGCATTTTACTATAAGTGTGGGTCTGTCAAAGCTAGTCGCACATACAAGTGGTTGAGTCATTTGGGAGGCTAACTTTTCCAGTAGGTGACGCTTAATTTGCCTATGGTAAACCTTTCCCTTAAAAAAAATATTCATGCTATAAATAGTATTGATTAATGTCATTTTATGATGGAAGTGTTGGAAATTGCGTTCGGTGGTTCCATGGTTTGCTGCAAACATGCAATGCTGATTGTCCTAATTGTAATACATTTGTGACAATTTCATGCCACTGCTCATACATAGCACAGTTATCCACTAGCTGGGTATACCAGTATAGATATTTCTTTGCGACACGGAAGTAGGCACAAATGTGGCAACGAGGATATTGTGGTCTCCACTTTTCTTTTATCTGTCAACCAGAAGACTGGCAAGGCAGATTGGTAGTAGAGGGATTAAGTTCGAGTTTAGCACGCAAACTAGTCTACAAGTACGAGGTCCAGAAGAATACAATAATAGTAGACAAACATCTGGTTGACACGAACAGAAAAGACACAGATGCATCCCCTGGACATAAAACTTCCTTCTCTCTAGGGAAAAATTATTAGGGTTTACAGTTTTAATATGGCTGACAAATTGATACATAGGAATTTCATGAGACAAAATTTGGCATATAGCAAGCCGTAATGTAAGTAGTTGACAATGACGGCGTGTATGCAATTCGCCCAAGTAATTCCCCATTTTAAGAAGGTAATTAAAAGTAAAGTCTCCATTTTAACGAATTAAGAAAAGAATATACACAAAAACTCTCACTAAAAATTCATTAGCGCTAGATTGTGCTATGAATGAAAAGATAATATGCCAAAAAATTTGTTCAAGTAACACACTGGTTAAGATTTTTGAGTGCACAAATGAAAAGATAGTTGCGAAAGAGAAGAACAAATGTTATTTGTTATTTTAAAATGGTTATTATAATTATGAAGTTTTCTCATAAATTTGCTGAGGTTGCTGGTCGGTAACTTCATCACTGCCTTTTATCGCTATCTGTGTACTGGCTGAATTGAGCACATCTAGAGTATCTGGTCTGTTCATCAACTTCGCCGACGTATTGTCGACTTCTTGACCACGTTGAGGATTGATCTTCATATGCATGAACCTCCTCAAATTCATGCCGAATCGTGCTTATAGGAACATTAGAGGGATAACTAGGTGTTGGGTAGCTGTAAAATTGAATATCTCCCTCTTCCAATGTCCGCGAGGTTTCTAAATTGTGTTCGCGGTGCAATAATTGTTCTTCAGAGGTTTCCATTTGTTCCTGAATAGAGGAAGAAAGGGCATAGACATCGCTGTGCTCGAATTCACCAACTTCATTCAAGTATGGTGGGGTTCTTGAACTCTCTGTTCCATACTCTGGTGAGTGAGAGTAGCTCCTATGTTGATGTTGAGACATTGTGCCAGGGGTATAGAAACGAAATTGTCTAAAGACAGGCTGAGTACGTCCATTTCTTTGGTAATCATTTAGCTTGTAGGTATCAGAGTGACTATGATTTAGTATTCCAGCTCGGCTTGAAAGAAGACTGACAGACGTTGACAGCAGGCGTCTGTTACCGTTAGATCCACTTGGTTGACTCAGAGGTATCCATTTGTTAATGTTCATCTCGGGTATAACGCGAATCCATCCAGCTTTTCGAGCGGTAAGAAAGTTGCACCATTGAGACACTGAAAATTCTGATGCTTCTGGCTTATAAGATGGGCGTGAGGGCCAATCAACAGCAACATCACCGGTTTGTCTGTTGAATAGACCAAGTCGAACTGCGTCTTCCGGTCTGAGCCACTCGCAGGGTTCGCCACCTGGTTTTATAGCAGTCACGTGGTAAGCGCGGACCACGCTTTGTTGCTGTCTCCTCATCAATTCTTCATCGCTTTCTTGATCATAAATCTTATCAACTTTAAGTATGTTTTGCGATATAGCCTCCTCAGCTGTAATCCATTTATTGCAAAGGCTGTCCAACACCCAGGTTATTTGTTTATCATCCTCACGCACTAGTCCATCAGATTGAGCCTTGCGTATTGGAATGTATTCCCTATTAACAGTGTTAAGTACGAAGGTCACATCCGCCTTTTCTCGTACAGCTGACTCACGCTCAATGAAGACAAGAGAGGATGTAAAATTGCCGTTGGTAGAAGCAACATTCGAAAATCGAATGCGACCCTGTGCCAGTGCTGTCTCGAGTGGAATAGTGTGACCAGTTGTAGGGTCGATGTACTCATTCGTGCCGCCTAGTTGAATCCATCCTTGACGGACAGCAAAGCTTACTGGTGCAAAAAGCCCAGTAATCGGACTGGCTACTTCGCGAATGTCGTTCCAATTTCTGGCGTCAATCTCTGTGACCATATCACACAACTCATACTCGACTATGCGCTGGCGAATCGTGATAGGCATTTTCTCTATGCTGTCAAAAAAAAGGTGCCAAAATGTATTTTATAAACACTTTCGTTCAAAAAAAATTTGACGCATATTAGAATTTTCAGTAAACACAAATACATCCAATTATCGTCATGAAAGGAAAAAAGAATAAAAAATTAAGATTTGAAGTTTACATGATTTAAAGTAAACTGACATAAACTAGGTAATTTTTAACTTACACAGGCTCTCCCAAAGCTGACACTGGATAGCTTGCCCGCTCTCGTTTTAGGAATTCTTCTTCATATGCGTCTTGATCAAAAAAGTAGGTCATGATATCTAAGTCATGCAAGCAGTCATGACGAAAGAGTCTTTCGTGTGGTTTCGGTAAACTTTCAAGCTGTTTGCGCAGAAATTCGTAGGAAAGACGTTCAGTTTGTGAAGCTTCCGTCACAGTGGATAGGGCAATTTGGGTTTTAACATATATGGGCTCGTCCATCACATGCGTCACGTCAGTTATCTGTGAATAGGCTGTCTCCTTCTCTTTTTTGTTCATTCGATATTCTGTCAAGGTATAATCGGTATCCGTTTGATCACCTCGGTCGACCGTAATTGGGACACTTTTTGCTGGTTGCTGGTAAGCAAATGATTGATGATTTTCTTCGAGTTCAAATATTCTGTTGCTCTCGACATTTTCAGTGTAATCAATTTTAACCTGAACCCCAAAGTCGTTTACTGAATATGGCGGAATTGATGTAGTTTCGGTCATTTCATCTAACCTTTGGCGCATCGTGTATATATCCTCCAAACTTTGTTCCACAAAGGTTCTGCCAACACTAGTAAATGGTTCATGTACAATTGATTCATATGGGAATTGTACACCAACTTCTGCCTGTGCAAGATCTGCAGTCTGAGATGAAGTCTCGTAGAGGTATTGTCTTCGTAAAGCCTCATTGTATATATTACGATTTAACATGGAGAAGCCAACATGTGAAAAGTACTCATCCAAATCATCAGACATTAGTAAATTCCAAGAAAATTCTCTAACATTATCAAACAAATCATAAAACTCAACTCGGGATTCTTTACTGCAAAAACCAATGCCAGGACGAAACTCTGCCCATTGCATTAATGGGACTCTTATTGACTGCGTTTGCTTTACTTGTGTATCAGAGAATTTATAGTAGGTTTCATTTACTTCAACTTCTTCAAAATCAAAGTCCTCAGGTAATCTTGCTGAAATAACAGAATCAGCAGGAGAATCAATTAGAGAGCACTGAATACTTCTGTGCTTTAACGGAAGAACTATAGTTTCCACAGGTTTGCATTTCATTTCAGCATAGGCGGGTACTTCTTCTTCCCAAAAAAATTCACTTTCATCGGTTTGTAAATTAACAGATTTACAAGCATTAACTTCAGTCATACTGAATGAATCCTCGAATTGTACAATACACGTTTGCATGTAGCAATGACGCAGGTTCGAACTTTCATGAATCCGTGTAAGAATAGTTGGAGAAGTATCGTATGAACCAGTGGTTTGAGGAGAGATTTCCAAAATTGTCATTGTCGAAGTAGATGAAGTAGTTTTCAATGGCAAATATGTGCAATCGAAATTCAATGGCAACGAACCTCTCGTAGTCTGCAACGCAGCATCAATAACACTTGGCAACTCGACATCTTTAAAAAGCAACTGACTAAGTGTTTGTGTCGGGAAGTACTTGACATTAACAGGTGCAGGTGTCGCTTCCACTGGTGGAGCTGAGCGCACAACCACTGCGCTTTCCTT